AAAAAAATTTTTTTTTAAAAAATAAAATAAAAAAAAAAAATAAATAAAAACCCAAACTAAGATTAGCAATCCAAACTCAGAATTTTGTACAACAATGATACAGGGGATGGAGGGGAGGGGGTTTGGTGATAAAAGGGTAACACAGGGGATCCTTATGATGGAACCATTCTGTATCTTGGTTGTGGGAAAGGTCACATGAATCTATACATGTGATAAAACTGCATAGAACTAAATACACACAAACAAGAATTTAAATGAAAACTTTAAGGAGGTGCCTGGGTGACTCAGTCGGCTGAGTGTCCAACTCTTGATCTTGGCTCAGGTCATGATCTCAAGGTTCGTGGGATCGAGCCCTAGGTCAGGCTACCCATCTACCTGCACCTGTGTCCATATACTCTGCCTTCCATTTCTATGGATGAATGCCCATGCTCTTACCTCTGGGTAACTCTCCCCCATGGTAAATGGCTGCCCCATCCTCCCAGCTCTCAAGTAAAAAAATTTAAGGAAAAAAAAAAAGTTAAGAGTTATCCTGCCCCTCCTCTCCCTTTCTTGCCTGCATCCACTCCATCAGCAAATCTCACTGTTTCCCCCTTCAGAATACACATAGAATCCTGACACTCCTCACCATCACTCATATCCACACGACTCTTGACTTTCACCTGGATTCCTGCACCAGCTTCCTGCTCAGTCTCCCTGCTTTTACCTTTGCTGCCTATGGTCCCTTCTCAACACAGCAGCCAGAGTGCTCCTTTTTAATCTTAAGTCATGTCATCCTACTGTGCTCAGAAATTTCTAGTGACTTCCCACCTTACCCAAACAAAAGGGCAAAGCCCCTCTGGATGCTATCCACCTCCCCCCCCACTCCCTGCCTTTCTGACTTCACCTCCTATTGCCTTCTCCCCTGTTTACTCTGTTTCAACCTCTCAGGCCTCCTTGCTGCTCCTCCAATGTGCCAGATACGCTCCCACCTTAGGGCTTTTGCACTTGCCATTCCCTCTTTCTAGAACTCTTCCCCCAGATATATGGTCCATTCTGTAAACTTTGTATCAATACAATATCAATACTTAATTGGGTCATTCCTGATCACAGCATCTATAACTGCAACCCCCGTTCTCAACAAGGAACATCCTTCCTCCCATATTATATTTCTCCGTAGCCCCTTTCAACTTTTGACATAGCATGTATTTATTGTTATTATCCTTCCCTCCTGACTAAAATGTAAGTTTCACAGAAACAGGATTTTTCACATGTTTTTATTGTTCACTGTGGAATCTCTAGCACACAGAACAACAGCCCGTGGCATGTGGTGGGTACTCAATAGATTTGTTAAATAAATACATAGATGATGAAATGTGATGAGTATACCCCTTGAAGTCAGCATCTGCTACACTGTACTCAGGTCCTAGCCAGTGCAGTTAAGGCAAGAAATTAAGGGGCTCCTGGATGGCTCAGTTGGTTGAGCATCTGACTCGGCTCACATCATGATCCCAGGGTCCTGGGATCGAGTCCCACATCGGGCTCCATGCTGAGTGTGGAGCCTGCTTAAGGTTCGTTCTCTCTCTCTCTCTCTCTCTTTCTGCCCCTCTCCCTGGCCTGCACTCCCTCCCTCTCCCTCTCTCTCTCTCTCTCACTAAAGTAAAAAAAAAAAAAAATTTTAATGTTAAAAAAAAAAAAGAGAAAAAAAAGGATAGAGAAAAAGAGAGAAACCATCATGCTAAGAAAAGCAAAAATGGACACAGAATAGTTTTGCTCATACTAGTTCAACTGGGTTTCCTTCTACACAATCAAAAGAACCTTGACTAAGACAGTGTCAAGCCTGCTCCATATACATGTTGGGGAGGGGAGAGGACGTGCAAAAGAATTCATAGCCCCTACCTATGGGGGACATACTTGAGAGTGAAGATGCAGCAGTGGCAATGGGGCAACGGAATAAAGGATCCGCAGGGGGGGTAGCAGAAGGAGCACTGGCCTGGGAGTCCGAAGATCCAGACCCTGGAACTGACTCTGGCAGGAGGCTGTGGATCTTGGGCAAGTCACTTAACCTCTTTGTGGCCCATTTCCCCATCTGTCAACAGGGATGTTACTGCCACCTACTGCGTAAGGCTGTCATCAAGAATACTCAGTGTAAAAGTCCTGAAGTTATTTTGTAAATCAGGGGCTGACCACGAAATACTTAGATGGTGGAAGAATGCTACCCTTCCTGATCCTTTACCCCAAGAAAGTCGTTTTCCAGCAGTATTTGCCCCAGTGTGGTACTGGGAATAGTTCTCTCTGCCCAGATGGCAAAAACCAAGGCTCAGAGAGATGGGAAACCGTCCTTCCTGGGCATCCAGTTTTGCTAGTAGCACAGTTTGAGTCTGTGAGGTTGGGAAGGGATCCTAGGCTAGTCCATGCCCCTAAGGCTGGAGTCTTATCCTAGGAGGGAGGGGTCCAGAGTAGAGGGGAAAGATAACTACCTACCACTGCTCCCTGGTTCTTTCCTGGCAGGACCTCAGCCACATACTTGGTGATGCTGGCACTCTGAAACTGCAGCCTCTCACACTGGTCCACAATCTTGTTCTGCAATACAAATGACACCCATGGCATCTTGATCCTCGTGGATCCATTCACTCTCTCCCAGTGATTTTCCCCTTTTACCCCACCTCAGCCTCACACCCACCGTCATATCCCAGACCTCATTAGTACTAAAAACTATAGCACCTGCAAAATCTTCATTTCAAGAGTTCCACACCCTGGGGCACCTGGGTGGCTCAGTTGGTTAAGGGTCTGACTCTCGATTTCGGATTTCAGCTCAGGTCATGATCTCATGGTTCGTGAGTTCAAGCCCCACATAGGGCTCTGTGATGACAGTGCGGAGCCTGCTTGGGATTCTCTCTCTGCCCCTGCCCTGCTTACCTGCTATCTCTCTCTCTCTCTCAAAATAAATAAGTAAACTTAAAAAAAAAAAAAAAAAAAAAAAAAAAGGCCCACACCCTTTCCACCACTTCCATCACTAACTCTAGATTCTCCAGTCCAACAATTCTTTCTTCAGCTTAGCGAGAGCCACCAGTATATCAGTCTTACCACTTTCAGTGTTCATCACCCACTTTTTTGGTGATTCTCTCCTTTTTCTGAAACCGTGGTTCAACATTACAGTCACTTTCCTGCATACACTCAATGCTCCTTTTTTTTCTTAATGTTGATTTATTTTGAGAGAGAGAGAGCAGGGGAGGGGCAGAGAGAGAGAGAGGGAGACACAGAATCTGAAGCAGGCTCCAGGCTCTGAGCTGTCAGCACGGAGCCCAACATGGGACTCGAAATCATAAACTGTGAGATCATGACCTGAGCGAAAGTCAGAGGCTTAACCGACTGAGCCACCCAGGCGCCCCTCACTCAATGCTCCTTCTAACCCAGCTCCCCGATTCTCCACAACTGAGTGGAAGAACATGGCTTCTCAAACAGCCTTTCCCTAAATTATCCCCTTTCCCTAAATTATCCCCGTTGGTGAAACAACAAAACCCCATTACCCTAACCAAACCCCAGGAGTTACTCTCCAACCCTGCATGTATTCAATCCCTCAGCGAATCCTATCAGCCCCGGCTCCAAAGTGTCTGTCTGTCTGTCTGTCTCTCTCTCCCCTCTGGCCACTTCTGGTCACCTCCACTCTTGCTATTCTACCCAGATCATCATTATCTGTCACAAAAGCCGCTATCAGAGCCTCCTCACTGGGCTTGGCCCCCACAGTTAGCCACTGCCACCTTGTGTAAGGAAATTAGGTCAGGTCATGTCCCTGTTCAAAACCCTCCAATGGCTTTCCAGCATCCTCACAGTGAGATCAAGCTTCTCACTTTAGCCAACAAGGCCCTGTCTGATGTGACTCTGCCTGTTGTTCCAGTGTCACCTCCTAGCACTCTCCACGCCGGCCTTCTTCCTGTTCCATAAACACACCAAAACTTGTCCTGACAACAGTGTCTTTGCACCTGTGGCTCCTCCTGCGTCCAGTAGTCACTGTACCCTATATACACCTATCTACAAGTCCCCTCCCCCACTCCATTCAGGGTCACCCCTTCTCAAGCCCTCTCCGGCCACCCCCACACACCATTCCCTTACTCTGCTTATATATCTCCCTTGCATTTATCACTCTCTGCCTGCATATTATGTGTTTGTTTACTTTTTTGTATTTTTCCCCCCACCACTGGAACAAGAGCACCATGACATTGACTTGTTCTCTATGGCCCACTACCTAGAAGAAAGTTCCTCCTACACATAAGAGGCCCCGAATAAATATTTGTTGAATGAATGAACATCCACTTCTTTGACCCCACGAAGTTCAGCGGTCCCCATCCCCCAAAGCTGGGAGCATCCCCCAGGAGAGCAGGGGAGAGTTGTTAGAAATGAGGAAGCTGAAGCCCATAGAAGTAACTTGTCCAAGAAGATACGGCCAGGCCCTGCTTTTCCACTCCATTTCTCCAGGAACTTGAACTCCTTCCTGGCCAACAGCTCCTCCACTACTTCCCCTTGGAGCTTTGCCCCAGTTCCATCTGTCAAAAGGCAACTCAGCTCCTCTTCTAGGCAGCCCTTGCAAGGCCTTCCCCCAGCCCCACAATCAGGAATTAGTCTTATACTTTGCTGGTCCAAATACTAAGTGGAAACAAACAAACAAACGAACAAACAAACGAAACACACACACACACACACACACAAATACTGGGCTGGCTGGGAGGAAGCTGTGATCACCACACGCCACAGGGCCAAAGAAATTGAGACTAGCTTCCAAAAAGCTGCAGGACAAGAATCCAGAAGGGAGGAGAGAAGTTGAGCAGGTGCCCAGTTCAGTGACCATCTTGCCCTGAGGCAAAATGTCTTTGCTGGCTAGAAGGACAGCAGAAAGAGTGTGCAAATGCCATAATATGCTCAAAACTGGAGAAAGGGCAAGAAACACCTCCCTCCAGGCAGAGGAGAAGAATGTGCTTAGGGCTTCAGGGGGGGTTCAGAGAAGGCTGACTTCATTTCGAAACAAGCACCAGGCCTGCCACCTTTGCTCAGCCTTCATCCCCTTCTACCACTCAGATTCAGCTCTGATGGCAACTTTTTAAAAAGGGTTTTATTAAAATCTCACACCCATTAGCATCACTTCCTCTCTCAATGGAAGCAAAGAGGTAATTTTCTCTGGCCTAGTCAATGACTCCCTTGGTCCAGCTCCTGAATATGAGGAACCTTGGAGGAGTTACGGCCCTGTTCTGGGCCTCAGTTTCCTCATCTGTAAAATGGAGATAGGATACCACTTCAAAAGCTTGGTCTGGATGGAGTGAGATGATGGATATTTAAGGGCTTTGGTACTCATAAAGTTTCTATACCACATTACCCAAGTTGATTTTCATCACCACTTATTGAGGATGGATAGTGGTGACAGGTAGGACCAACCAGGAGCTTTCAGGGGTCACTGAGTAAGTGAATCCCTCTAGGCCAGTTGGGTGTGTTTATTACACCCCAGTCTGAGTCCCCAGGGAGAGCCCTCAGGGCCTCACAGATGGGCAGAACCTGGGTGAGGGTGGGGAAATCAAGCCACTTAATGGAACGGCAAGGAAATCCCCAGGGGTGACAGCTAGGGCGGAAGGAGGGAGGAAAACCCAGGGTGACTTGGGCTCCTCAATCTCAGCAGATGGGTGGGGAAGGGGGGGTGGTGATGAAGGTGACCAGCCTGGGGGTAAACTGGAGTGGAGGTCGGGAGAAACTCTAGATTAAGAGGTCCAACACGGGGCGCCTGGGTGGCGCAGTCGGTTAAGCGTCCGACTTCAGCCAGGTCACGATCTCGCGGTCCGGGAGTTCGAGCCCTGCGTCAGGCTCTGGGCTGACGGGTCGGAGCCTGGAGCCTGTTTCCGATTCTGTGTCTCCCTCTCTCTCTGCCCCTCCCTCGTTCATGCTCTGTCTCTCTCTGTCCCAAAAATAAATAAACGTTGAAAAAAAAAATTAAAAAAAAAAAAAAGAGGTCCAACAGGAACCTTTTAATTTTTTTTTTTTTTTTTTTTTTTTAGCGTTTATTTATTTTTGAGAGAAAGAGACAGAGCGTGAGTAGGAGAGGGGCAGAGAGAAAGGGTGACACAGAATCTGAAGCAGGATCCAGGCTCCGAGCTGTCAGCACAGAGCCCGATGCAGGGCTCCAACTCAGGAGCTGTGAGATCATGACCTCAGCTGAAGTCGAACGCCCAACGGACTGAGCCACCCAGGCGCCCCAACAGGAACCTTCTAAGATCCAACCCGCCCACCTCCGTTCACCCAGGTGAAAGCAGCTTGGAGTGCAGTCAAGGCCAACCCCGAAAAGGACAAGAAATCACCTCACCAGGAAGCCTGAAGAGTGGACGAGGGGAGGGGCTTTGAGCCCAGGGGCTGAGGGGATAGGAGAGCCGGGTTTTATCTCAGGTCAGCTTCCACCAGGGCGGGGGATGGGTCACACGCTGTCCCGGGCAACTGGAGCAGTGGAACCGCATACTGCCCAACGCCAGGCCCGGCTCTCACCCCCCAAAACAGCAACGGAGGAGGAGGGGGCAGCTGGACCTACCACTCTGTGGTAGGCTAAACAGCATTTCACCCATTACTTTAGGTCTATCACACAACCACCCCCAAAACTGCGCCCTCAGACTACACGTGAGGACACTGAGGCTCAGAGACGAGATTCCAAGGGAGGTCGGGAGGCGGGATTCGAACTCACGTCTCCCGTGACTCCAGAAGCCACACCCTTACCGCCTCGTTCCACAGCAGTGACACGGCCGAGCCTGGACTCCTGGACCGGCAGCCGGGTCTCCGCCAAACCCCTCACGGCGCGCCATCCGGGCGCCCCTCCCCTCCGGCGCCCCCCGCCTTCCGGCGCCCCCGCCCGCTCACCCGCAGCTCTTCCGCGCGCTCCTCGGCCCGGCGGACGCGGTGCCCCCGGCAGCGGCCGCCCAGCCCGGTGCAGGCGGCGCACACGGGCCGTCGCTCGGAGCAGCAGAACCAGCTCAGAGCCTGGCCGTGCTCGGGGCACAGCGGCCCCGGCTCCGGCCCCGAGCTCTCCGCAGACATGGCCGAGCGCCCGGCGCCGAGCGCTCCACCTGTCGCAGGTGGCTGCTGGGCGGGGCCTCCCTGACCCCGCCCCCGGCCCCCGACGGGTGTCCCCGAGCGCCGGCCGCCCAGCTTCCTGCCGGCCTACCCTGGCGGCAGGTGGACTGCTGCCAGGCGTCCGCGCCCCAGCCCCGACCCCCGCCCAGGGTCCAACCGCTTCGGCTGTCTTCGTAAATCGCGTTTGTATACGTGTTAGTTTTGTAACAAACATAAAACACCAAACATTGATGTGACCGTAGGAAACTTAATTGAGCATTTAAGTGCCAGACTTTTGCTAAGCGCTTCATAAGCGTTTTATCATGTAATACAGCAGCCCTTTTTGAGAGGCAACTTGAGACAAGTAGCTAGAAGCTAGGTTCTGGTGGTAGGCTACCTGGGCTCAAATCCCATTTATCTGCTCCCAGACAGCGCCTCGATGGCCTCGGCTGTAACATGGGGATAGCGTCCGCACCTGCCTCACAGATTTGTGCTGAGCATTTAATGATTAAATAAGATCTGGAGCACAGACTGCGGCTGCAATTGCTAAGCGTCTGTTAATAGTACAAGGAAAGTATTACGATGGTCCCCATTTTTAGGGAGGTTAAGTAACTTACAAGGAGTCACAGTTACTAATTGGTAGCAATGAGATTGGAATTCAGGCAGTTTGATTTGTGGCTAATAGGATTAATGATTTTTTAACTGCATATTAAGGTCCAATGAGAAACATCTGTATTAGGCTGATTTCCCCCAAAGTATTTACAACCAAATCTTTTTTTTATTTAAAAATGTTTAATGTTTTTATTTATATTTGAGAGAGAGAGAGAGGAGCAGAGTGCAAGCAGGGGAGGGGCACAGAGAGTGGGGACACAGAATCCCAAGCAGGCCCAGGATCTGAGCTGTCAGCACAAAACCCAAGGAGGGCGGGCTCAAACTCTCAAACCAGAGCCCAAATCAGACGCTTAAGGGACTGAGCCACCCAGACGCCCCAAACATTTTTTAAAGGGGAGTGATAATAGTATCTATCTCTGAGGGCTGCTTCAAGAATTAAATGAGATCTTGTATGCAAAGTGCCGAGCTTGGGTGTTGGGAGTATGGTATACACTAGAGGCTAAAAAATGTTTTATTGTGTATGTGAGGATCTGTAAATACAGTTGTAGCAGGCCTTCAGAATGTAAATGGTGTGAGGTACTTTGCAAGGGGAAAGCAGCACTCCTGGCATCAAAAGTCATGTCTAGGGGCCCTGGGTGGCTCAGTCGGTTGAGCTCCAGCTTCAGCTCAGGTCATGATCTCGGGGTTGCCTGGCTCTGTGCTGACAGCTCGGACCCTGGAGCCAGCTTTGGATTCTGTGTCTCCCTCTTTCTTTGCCCCTCCCCCGCTCGTGCTTTGTCTCTCAAAACTAAATAAATGTTAAAAAAAAATTTTTTTTAAGTCGTTTCTAGTGGGAGGGTGAAGCCTTCATCATAGCATTTACCCTCTTCCAGGGGTGGGGCTGGAAATGGGCCACCATAACTAGAGATTGGGGTTAGAATTTCCTTGTTCTAAGGGGTGGGGGTAGAGAGGGCTATTAAACCTTACAACGAAACAAAGAAAACAGAAGTGATTTTGTGTGAAGGAAAAGAGACTGGAGGCCAGAGGCAGTAGGGGTTAAGGTCCTTGGGAAAAGTAAGGCCTGTTCACTGGGTGTGGTCCTGGGGAGCAGTCGGTGGCCCTGGGAGGGCCGGAGTCAGGGAAGCAGCAGCAACATTGCCAGAACTACTTCAGGCAGAGGACTAGGAATTGCAAGAGGCTTGGGTGGGAATGGATTTACTTTTATAGAGTTGGGATCAACTCAGGGGCTGAGTTGGACTGGAACTGAAGAATCAGCCCCTTCCCTTCCTGTACTGGTGCTTGACCCAAGTCCCCACACAAGGCCTCAGGATACTCATAAATTCCCAAGTGTGGCTCTCAAGCTTTATTCTTCGGAATTACCTGAGGTGGTTGGGGGAGAGGGTAGTTAAGCATTCACACTTTCCCATAAAATTCTCGTTCACTAGATCTGGGGTGGAGCCAGGAATCTGCAACTGTAGCAGTTGCCCTGAAACTAAAATACAAATGATCTCTGACCACCGATATAAACACTGCCCCAGGGCAATGGTGACCTTTCGGAGACCAGCATCTCCAAAAGAAAGAGAAAGAAAGAAAGAAAAGGTAGGGAGGAAGGAAGGAAGGAAGGAGGAAAGGAAGAGAGGAAGAAAAAAGAAAGAAAGGAAGAAAAGGAAGAAAAAAAGAGAAATTATTGCTCCTACAGGGCGCCTGGGTGGCTTAGTTGGTTGAGCGTTCAACTTTGGCTCAGGTCATGATCTTGTGGTCTGTGAGTTCGAGCCCCTCCTTGGGTTCTGCACTAACAGTGCAGAGCCTGCTTGGGATTCTCTGCCTCTCCCCCAGTTGCACTCTGTCTCTCTCTCCTCAAATAAATTAAGAAAAATTGCTCCTAGTACAGGTTCTTTATTTCAGTTACGTATTCATGTACATGTGTGAGCACTGGGGACTGAATGTATTTTTTTTTTTTTTTAAGATTTTGTCTTTAAGTAATCCTTGTGCCTAACATGGGGCTCAAACTCATGACCGTGAGATCAAAAGCCACACGCTCTCCTGACTGAGCCAGCCAGGCACTACCAAATGTATTTCTTATTGAGAATCAGGGTCAAAAAGTTTGGCACTGCTGCTCTCAAATGACCTCTGGAGCTTTGGTGGGAGTGAGGAGGGCTGTACTTGAACTTTAGGGCTTGCTTAGGCAGAACACCCTGAGCTGGGGACAGAGAAGAATGGACACTTTTGTTACATTTTAGTCATTCAGATTTATTGAGCACCTACCTATATGCTGGGCCGTATTTAAGACGCTGAGAATACAACCTTAAAGAAGAACAAAGTCTACTCTCCTGAACAAACAAAATAAAAGGACATGTAAATAATGTTGGTAAGTGAGAAGACCTATATGAAAAGTACTCAAGCACATAGAAACAGGGCTTGAGGGAGGGCTGATCTAGAAAGGATGATGGAGGAGGTCTCTTGGAGCAGCAGCACGGTGACTGGAAAAAGACAGCAAGCAAACCGTGAGGAAATCTGGGGAAGGAGCTTTCCAGGCAGAGGAACCAGCAAGAGCAAAATTTCTTTTTATGTCAGGAACTCTGCTCCCCCCTCACCAAAGAACCACACACAATTTACATTCTGAAAAGGTGCTATATATTTACATCCTCACACATGATAGAATATCCTTTAGCCCCTACCATATGACATAGGTGGGAACATGGAGAGGCCGCTTTTAGGCAACAGGCTTGAGCAATAAAAACCTGACTAAGGTGAAAGGGCCCCAGTGATCCCCAGGCTGAATGCAAACAGGTTCACTAAGTGACCCACCTCATAATATCATCCACAGGCCCTAACTTACCAATAGGCTACTTAGAACCAGGTACAGTTACCATAAAAGGAAAATGCCATGCATTCCTGTACCTCCTTCAGCGCTTAACTGTAGCCCCCCACCGCTGCCTCCTGGTAGACAGTCTCTGTTTTGCTGTCCTGCCTGCTTGCTCTCTTGTGGTGTATTCAATAAACTTCTATCTCCTTTGTTTTGCTTTAGGTGAATTCTTTCACCACCCAAGCCACCAGCCTCCACCCAATCTGGTTGCCGCACAGAGCATATTTATTTTTATAAAATTGGGATTATCTGGGGTTGGCTGGGTGGCTAGTTGGTTAAGCATCCAAACTCTCGACTTTGGCTCAGGTCATGATCCCATGGTTCTTGGAATAGAGCCCCACATCAGGCTTTGCACTGACAGTAGAGAGGCTGCTTGGGATTCTCTCTCCCTCTCTCTCTCTCTCTCTCTCTCTCTGCCCCTCCACTCATGCTTGCCCACATGCTCACTCTTTCTCTCTCTCTCTCTCAAAATAAACTTAAAAAATGTATATATATGTGTATGTATGTATATATAGATATATTCTTATATATATACATACATACACATATATATACATACATATATATATATACATACATATATATAGGCACCTGGGTGGCTCAGTCGGTTGAGAATCCGACTTTCACTCAGGTAATGATCTCACAGTCCTGTGAGATCTCACACTCGAGCCCTGCATCGGGTTCTGTGCTGACAGCACAGAGCCTGCTTGGGATTCTCTCTCTCCCTCTCTCTCTTCCCCTCCCCCATTTGTGCACATGCACTTTCCCTCTCTCTCTCAAAATAAATAAACATGAAAAAATTAATTAAAAAAATCTTTTTCAAAAATATTCAGTGAGCATCTACTATGTGCTAAACCTATACTGTTCAATACCATAGCCACTAGCCACAGATGGCTTCTTAAGTTACATTAAAATTAAATACAATTTAAAATTTAGGGGCATCTGGATGGCTCAGACAGTTAAGCATCCAACTTCGGCTCAGGTCATGATCTTGCAGTTC